GCCCTTTGAGTAGTTTCTTCTACAGAACCATCTGTATGGACATATATATATAGTCATTGATGTGGTATCTTTCCTAGGTGGTAGCAAGAGTGATAAATTAATTTTAAACTTGGGAAGATGTAAGTATATCTCCAAATATTAATGAACCAAGAGAACAAAGTCAAGCTGTGCAATAGCATATTTCATCAGGCTTGTATTAAGAAATTGAATAAATATTAAGCTGAGTATTTAATCTTATGTTGCTTGAGCAGCAGTTGAGCCAAAAATTTCTCTTGCATAGATTTTCTCCAAAAGACAGTGCCGCTTAAAATCAGCAGTTTGCTGAAACAATCAATACCAGTTTGTAACTTTATAACTGGGATGGATGCAGACACTGTTGCACAATAATAAGATGTCAAATTTGGATAATATGTTTCATATGCAATGATAAGTTCAGCACCATAAGCAAAGATTAGACTTATAAAAGAGTTTGTAATTAAAATTTTCTTTTTGTCTTCCCATTTCATTCCAGCTAGTCTCTCAGTAGATCTGGATGATTTGATATATTTTCACTTACTTTAGAAACCTATTTATTTCATTTCAGCTTCACATGAAGTATGGTACCCATGTGTGTGCATTAATAAGTTCTTTGCAAGTATTGGTGTTACATTTTTTAGTTAGTTAATAGTGCTTAAAGTAAAATGTTCAAAATTAGTTTTTTCCACTTGACTACAATTTCATTTTCTTATTGGTTTTAATGAGTGATCCATATTATTTAGTTTGACCTCAAGTTTAGGAATATCAATACCGGATAAACCAAATCATTAAATCTGTTATGTCAGCCATCATCATGGATCTAACTTTCACACATCAGTAGTAGAACTCGTGTAGAAAATTTTTGAAGCTGGAAAACACGATCAGCATTTCCTTTGCTGAGATTAAAACTCTAGACCTCCTGATTGCAAGCCGGATATGCTTTCCAGTTACATCTCAAAGGTAAACAAGATTACTGTAAAGTATCATATCTCTTATACTGTACAAGATTCAAAGATAAAAGAAAGAGAAATATTTTACACGGTATCTTAGAGAGAATTAGTTGGCTTTTAAATCTGGTCTGGAACTCAGTGGTACTGAGCCATGTTTACATGTTTGAAGCCTGGTGGGATGATGCATTTTCCCTAATGATATAAATCACTGCCTTCCATGTAAGATGTGAGTAGTCAGTACATTCTAAAAACACATTATTCTGCAAAGATAGTTTTGATGTTATGGTCAACATGCAAATTATGGTGTCTAGTAATATGCAGTCAGCAACAGCCAATGGTATGTGGAATTCTGATATTAAGTCTGGAAGTGATCTTGATCATCATCATTGTTTGCAGTCTATCCCAGATTGGATAGCCTGCAGTTATCCTGGTGATGTGTGGCATGTGGATAATCCATGTGTGCTCACTGTACTGTGGTATATCCTTCAGTTATGTATGAATGGTATATGATTGATATTATTATCTTTGTAAACCCAAAGAGGTTGTTATCACTTCAAATGCAGAATGATCCATCTTTCTTGCATCAACAGTCAGAAATGCAAAGGCCACATTTACTTGTCTTGACAGTTATACATCAGTGGTACTGTACTTGTTTTGCTTTGTGTACCCATTTCACCATTGATAGATCATCTTCCCTTTTCTTTTAAACTTGAAAAACACATACAGATATTTTAGATTTAGATTATCTTAAGTTGATAAATGCCAAAACTTGAGTAAAAGTAGTTTTTTGTATTCATAAACTAAAACTAAATACTTAACAAATAAATAAAAGGCTGACTGCATCAAATCCTTAAACTATGAAATTTTCCCCTGGTTGAGAACCCCAGTTATACATTTTCTGGAACAACAGATACCTTTTGTTTGCAGTTTTCATCTGATTCTGAGCCTTTAAATTTGTAGCAGGGGATAAAATGCAGTCTTCTGAACTGATTTCTGTTTTGGTTATTCACTGTACATAACTATTTCTCCGACCTTCTTTTTAATTTTATAAATAGGAAAGGTAATAATAGATTATAAACATGTAACTTTACAGCTACTCTTTGAACCTCCCACAAAGTCGCCAGTTATTAGCAACTAATTTTTTGGCAGCCTAATATGTGAAAAGTAGTAGTCATTTTTAAAAATGGTAGGATGCTGAAAATTACATAAAACAGCAACAAATTAACAAAATTAAATGTGCAAGAATCATAGATACTGAAACTCTGAAAATAGTATAAAAGAGCAACAAACATCCATAATAAAACATTTAACTCCCCTAATTTAAAATTCCTAATTTAAAAAAATGCACCACTTTTTCACTAGCAGGCAAGCTCCATTGTGGCATTATGATTTATTTGTTACAAGAAAGATATCCACACAATAAATCCAACAAGCAGAAACCACAAAGATGACCTTCAACATTCAAAACTGCAACCACATGGATCACGCACTTGCATACACTGAAGTGACAAAAGTCATGGGATACCTCCTAATATTTTGTCGGTCCTCCTGTTGCCCGGCGAGCAGCAACTGTACGTAGCATGCACTCAACAAGTCGTTGGAAGTCCCCTGCAGGAATATTGAGCCATGCTTGCCTTCTATAGACGTCCATAATTGTGAAGGTGTTGACAGTGCAGGGTTTTGGGCACGAACTGACCTCTCGATGATGTTCCATAAATGTTTCATGGGATTCATGTCGGGTGATCTAGGTGGCCAGATCATTCGCTGGAATTGTCCAGAATTGGTTAGAAGAATCAATCGCGAACAGTTGTGGCCCGGTGACATGGCGCATTGTCATCCATAAAAATCCCATCGATGTTTGAGTACGTGAAGTCCATGAATGGCTGTAAGTGATCTCCAAGTAGCTGAAGGTATCCATTTCCAGTCAATGATCAGTTCAGTTGCACCAGAGGACCGAGTCCATGCCATGTAAAAACAGCCCAGACCATTATGGAATCACCACCAGCTTGAACAGTGCCTTGTTGACAACTTGGGTCCATGGCTTCGTGGGGTCTGCGCCACACTCGAACCCTACCATCAGCTCTTACCAACTGAAATCATGACTCATCTGACCAAGCCACTGTTTTCCAATCATTTAGGGACAAACCGATATGCTCACGAGCCCACGAGAGTCACTGCAGGTGATGTCGTGCTGTCAGTAAAGGCACTCGAGTCGGTCTTCTGCTGGCATAGCCCAAGGAAGACAAATTTCTATGCACTGTCCTATCGAACACATCCCTCGTACGTCCCACATTGATTTCTGCGGTTATTTGACACAGTGTTGCTTGTCTGATGTCATTGACAACTCTGCGCAGACGTCGCAGGTCTTGATCGTTAACTGCAGGTGGTCGGCCACTGCGCTGTCCATGGTGGGATGTTATGCCTGAAATTAGATACTCTCGGCACACTCTTGACACTGTAGATCTCGGAATGTTGAATTCCCTAACGATATTCGAAATGGAATGACCCATGTGTCTAGCTCCAACTACCATTCTGCATTCAAAGTCTGTTAATTCTCGTCATGCGGCCATAATCACGTCAAAGCCTCTTCACATGAATAACTTGAGCACAAATGAAAGCCCTGCCAAAGCACTTCGCATTTATACATTTTCTACGCGATACTACTGCCATCTGTATATTTGCATATTGCTATCCCATGACTTTTGTCACTTCAGTGTAATGTGCATGCAGCCATTAGTGGGCTGCAAGATAAATACATTTTCATTAAATTATGAGTTGCCTACTTCTTTGGTAACATGCCAAATTGCCTGCTGATTCTTGCCAGGTTTGGGCAGTTAATCAGAGAGTACTGAAATTGTTTTTAGTAGTTTTAAAGTTTTTATTTACTGAGAATATCAAATGTTTTTATTTTGAAAGTGTTGCAAAAATAAGATAGCTGTAAATTATAATTTAGGCTTAATATGCTTTAGAAATATTTGTCATAGAGTATAACAGGTAAAAAATATCAAATAATTACAGCTGTTGAAATGCTTATCTTTCATTAAAATTCAAAAATGTTTGCAATTCATTAATAGTCCTTTAATATTATACACTCTTATAATAAATGTGTATTAACTCTTGTCCCAATAAATTTAAAGAGATTTAAATTATTAGAATAAAATTTTAAACTCTTATTCTAATATATTTTGGTGCCTATAATAATGTATTTATAAAACATATGCGTAACTTTAACTAAACAAAATCAAGAGTGTGTGTTTTTCATAGCCATCTTTCATGATTTATGTCTTGAACGTATATTTAGCCATTATTGATCTCCTGGAATGCAAACTTTAAAGAAGTACTAAAGGTTATCATTGTATTGAATGTAACATAGACAAATTAAAAATAAATGCATAGATTTTCTGCATCCAGATAATCAAATATGTTTCTGAAGTTTCAGTGTGAAATTTTTTATAAATTTGAATTTGTTATTAACACATTGACTGCCAACTACGAGATAACTCGTAGATTGCATTTTCTTCTAGGACGCCAACTACGAATTATCTTGTACTGTGTTTACTTGTCTTTTTTGTGCAACTACGATTAAACTCTGAATATATCAGTGCTAATATTGATAGATGGCTTACGGTAAAGAACAAAAAATCAATGCTAGCTTGCATGAACAAAAAATGTATTTAAAAATGAATAAAAAATATAATTATAAAAATTAATAACATAATATGATTAAATCGATTTGGCTTTTCAGACTGGAATCCAAAAAGTGCGATGGCAAGTCAACGTGTTAATGATGTATATAATTAAACAAAAGTATATTTTATGATATCCTTTGATACAGCTGTTGCAAATTTTGCTATTTCAAAACATATAAATACATATCTTTATTATGTGCTTTAAATTAAAAGTTTATATATTAATTTTATTTATTTATTACATTCTTAAAAATAATTTATGTTGAGCCCTGTGTTGTAATTATTGTTGTTCTTTAAATTTGAATAATAAAGTGATTCCATTTATGAAATTTGAATTTATATTTAGGCTCTGATTCGCTTCGTCCTCTCAGTATTGATGAAGATGACGAACTTTTACAGTATGCTATTCAGCAGTCTCTTATGGAAGCAGGGAGTGAAGAGGATCAGGTTATAAAACTTTCTAACCTTTTCTTTACATAGTAACACCTTAATAATCTAATTTCAGTAATAAACTTTGTTAGAATTAGATCATCTTTATTAATTTTGTTGTATCTCTGTTTAGCACATTATAAATCACAATGATATGATTTTCGTCGGTCATGAGTAACGACTTTTATTGTGTAATAATTGTTGGTTACTGTTCTATTGTCTACAATTTGCAAAATTGGAAAGATAAAATTTTCTGAATAAATATCATAACAGTCTTTATTGTTATAACTGCATCTGAAATTGGAAATAATGATTCTTTTAAATTTTAGTAAAATTATGAATTCTAGTACTTTTTTTTTATAAAGCAATTAATTAAAGGTATAATTTTTTCACAGATCAAAATTGCTTTATTTTCCGAAAATTCTTTTTAATTCCCTTATCTCCCCCCAAATCAACATGACATCCTTATCCTTAAATAGGAATTCTCTGACCACTGAAGCTGTAATAAATATTATCATAATTATTTTAACCTCTTTCATATCACATTAGAATTTCTCAATGTCTGAACATTTTTTCATTTTGTCATGCTCAAAGTGGGAAATGTAAATCAATGCATATTAAAGATCAGGTATGGGGTTGATAGATATATCTGGTTGTAATGAAAATTTTTCCCAAAAAAAAATGTTTTTAATAAAGTTAGGGGAAAAAACATGAAAGCAGTGCCTTTATTGTGGGTAGTAATCTCCACCCAAATGTACGATTTTCTGAAAAACTACGTTTTGGTAGTTTTTCAAAGCTTTCAGCCCAGAAACTTAGTGGCAGCGAGTCCAAAAACAGATCAACTTCATTTCAACCTGTGTTGTTGAAGTAAATCTACTTTTCAACACAAGTGAAGATTTAGTCCAGAATTTTGTTCTTGCATTGATATTCGAGCAGATTGATGCAGGCCTGAACATGTAGCTCTTTATCTGCTTGAGTCAGCTGTTTGTCAAGTTTATACGATGCATATCACAACTAATTAGCATGGCACTAGCGTCAAACTCCATAGCAAGCTCTTGATTGGTTGCATACTGATCTTCCACAAGTTCTCACAGATGGGCCTCATCAACATCAGTAGACCGGCAAGAGTGCTGTGCTTCTTGAATGTCATAGTCCTTGTTTTTGAAATCTTGGTACCAAACCTTCACAGTGTCATATGATACAATATTAGTACCTAATGCTGTACGCATGATTTGGTGAGATCCTGTAGCAGACTTTTTGCAAACAGATATGGAAGTAAATGATGGTTTTTATCTGGTAGTGTGACAGTTCCATTTCAGACACGATGTACATAATGATAATGATATTTTTTTATAAATTTCACAGGACAGTGTTCTAAAGCAAGTCTCTTTCTTTGAAATGTCAAAAATTGTTTGAGAAAATATGCTTAAACACGCCAATGGGAATTGTTTGCGCAGACGATATTTGCGATGGTGGGAAACTTTCATTAAAACCCAATATAATGCATCTCCGTTCTTGACTTTCAACATATCATATACTTATATAAAACTGGTTTTATCCAGATATATCTGATTCAAGTAAAAATGTTATAGTGTTGGCAAAACTTATCAGCCCACTTTATTATGCTCAGGGTTTCAAGAAATTCAACATTATTCTCATCTTTGCTTCTTTCTAGCGGTACACCAACTGATATTTTTTGGGATAATTTATAATTTTTAATGATTAAATGAACAAGAGGTAAAATTCTTCAAATCTTTAAGTGGTAATATTGTTTTTGCCATACAAGGTTTTCATTATTACCTAATATATTTGTACTCTAAATTTGTAACCCTCAATATATGTCAGTATAGTTTAATAAATAATATAAATTATAATATTTGTATAAATATTTATATGATGTAGGTAACCATTTGGGAAGCACTTAGAGCTCAAAAGCCCAATACTAGTGGAAGTGAAGATGAAGATTTGCAGAAGTAAGTTTCCGAAATTGTAAGATTTGGAAGTTTAAGAACTGTATCTGCTTTCTTCATTCACATGGTTTAAAGTGGAGATTTAAAAAAAAAAAAAAAAAAAAAAAAAAAAAAAAAAAAAAACCACCCACTTTCTGTATGAAGTTAGTTTTAGATTAATATTTGAAAAATACACATTTTTAGGTAGGTTTTTATAATTTTCAATAATAATTGTATCTATATGTCTATATATGTTTTCTGAAATTTAGCTATTAACATGTAACTATATATTTACTTATGCATATATTTGATATGTTGTTAATAATGCTTATAGATATGATGCGCATCACCTTTAAGTGTAGTGATTGTAAACTGAAATATTTGAATAATATAAGATTTTTATGGAATATGAATACACATTTACAGTCATTAGGAGAGTATATAATATTTCAGTTGTATTTGGAAAAAATGGTGATGGCTTTCTGCCATTATCAGAAATGCATTATAGCTTATGCATGTTTGTATATATATTGTATATTCATACATATACATAATTCGTATCTCATCTTACTTCAGAATACATAAAAAAATTATTAGACTATCGTTTTTGTCTTTTGTGTTAAAATTACTTATTCGTAGATGTAAGCAGTTTATTTGTTGCTCAGTATTTTATCATGAAGTCATATTTTATCACCTTTGCATTTGATATTTTAAACATAATATGTTCTAAATGTGATTCCGTTTTTTTTATTATTATTATTATTTATTTATTTATTTATTATTTTTTTAGTAGTGCATGTAGTATTTTGCATAATAGCAATTAATTTTAATACATGCAATTCTGTAGTAAATTTTAGTAGAGTAATACTAAATTTCATTAATAATGCTACTAATTTCAAAATCTTGCTACTTTTAGAATATAGAATCAGATTCTCATAATTTATTGTAAAAAATCTTTTTTGGTTAATACTATTACATGTTTTCTGACAGAGGGGGAGATAAATTATTTACTTCAGGAGAGATTCATAAAATGAGACTACTGTTGTAATGGTTTATTTCCTTTTCTAATATTTTACTTTTTTTAATTCTGTAGATATATATTGCACAGAAATAATTTGTATTCTAAAAATATTCTTATACTGAGTAATAACAAATAATCTGCTTTTAAATTCCTTGAAGAATGGTATGAGACCTAAAATAATAAGCCATTATCTTAAATATGAATTCAATTTTGTAGTATTTGAATAACTTTTGCAAGATTTAACTTTTCATATTCCTGCCATCTGCACTTGAGGAAAAATATATGTATTAATTTATGTAAATTTTATTTTTTATCATTTAAATATGAATTGTATTCTGATATTTATATAAGAAAACGTCACAGTGTAGCATTTTTTGAAAATTCATTTTCCTATATTGCGAAAATCATCAAATAGTAGATGCTTTTATCAGTCCTGCATATTTTTGTTAGTATTTTTAGAGACTAGATCGTGCTGAATATAGATTAGAAAATAAATCTTTACAGTAAAATCTCTCTCTCTTGATGTAGAAGTTAAACAGTCCTTGGGGGGGGGGAATAAAAAAAAGTGTAAATAAGTATAACATTATTTTCATTTTAATTATAATTGTTCATTTCTTTTATACATTAAGAGACTATACAGGAAAATAGAAATATTTTATTTTCTCAAAAATAGCTTTAAATTTGCTTTTAAAATAAGTAAAACAGTAAAAAACTACAAAGTACTCTTTTTTTAATATAATTTAGCGCAAAATCTTTTTTCCCCTAATATTTATGAATCATTTTATTTTTTCTATCAAGATGTAATAATATTGATAGGAGATTGGTAAACAAATTGAAATCAGATGATTTAAATTTTAAAAATAGTTTTATGGTACAGTGTTATGTATACTATATATTACTTTAGAATTCTAAGTTAGCAGTTATTTTGGAATGAATCTTATATATTACTTTAGAATTCTAAGTTAGCAGTTATTTTGGAATGAATCTTAAGCATAAATTTCCTATCATTAAAAATTATTTTTATCAAGTGAAAAATTTTTCTGTTACAGTAGAAAAGTCTCAGTAGATCTAAATACTTCCTTTTAAAAATGAATAAGTTAAATAAAAACTGTGAATATAACTAATTGAATTACTTATTATAATTTTTCTGTCTTAAAGTTGGAAATATAATCTATTTGTTTACTGTAAATGTTTAAGAGAAGTAAAGAGTTTATTTCATTGTAGCACAGACACTGTAAATATTTAAGTACTGTATATGATTAAGATTTACTGCATTTTTTTGTTGCCTTCATATTATAAGAATTAGATACTCTTAAATGACATAGTTTATTGTAGCAATAAAATGGAGTAAAATTAACCGCTTGCCTGATTATCCCGAGTTAACTCGGGTTCGTATATATTGCAGTTAATTATTATCCTGAGAAAACTCGGGCGAAGCAGAATTTGTTAGTACGATTTCTTTTATCACAGTTTTATGCGGCCTGGAGGAAATCAAAGGAAATATTCAGCTTTGATTGGCAGTTTGCCAAATTTTGTTGGTTGCGCAGTTCTTTTGGAGGGACTGGTTACGTGTTTCCCTATTGTATAGCATACGTTAGCTTGTGGATTAGTAATGCATAAAGAAGGATGCATGCGTTGGAAAAAAATAAAATAATGACAATGATGCAAGATAGCGAAAGCGATGATTTTTCGGATAGTGATTATGAAGAGGTGGGGAAAAAAATAAAAATAAATAAATAAATAAATAAAATCCAACGAGACGGTGTACTCTATGCTCCCGTGAAAGATATTCCAGCGGTAAGCCAGTAAGAAAAGAGACCAGATACCAGTGTAGAACGTCAGGTATCACTCTGTGTTGTCCCTTGTTTCAAAAACTATCATACAAAGATTAATATTTAACTTTTTTTCGTTTGCCCGAGATAACTCGAGATAGTAAACTAATATTAAAAATAAATGCTTTTACACGTTCAAAAAATTTTAAATTCAATTTAAAACCTACATATTTTGATTTGTTTCATTTTGTTGTATTTAATAATAAAATAAAAAAAAAATGTGATGATTTTTTTGCTCTTTTTTTCAAAAAAATTTGTAAGGGAAGCGGTTAATGATAGCATTAAAAAATTGCTGTCATGAGAAGTTCATAATCTAATTAGTATTTTTTAACTTCATATTTTAAAAATTAGATATTAAGTGACTATTTTATTGTAGTAATAAAATGGGGTAATTAATGGTAGTATTAAAAAATTGCCACCTAGTGGTTAGGGAAGCCTACTGCAGAACCGAAATGCCTAGGTTCGAATTCCGGAGAAGGCATGGTTGGAACTGTCTGTCCCTTCGTAGGAGGCATAGGGTATCCATCTATTAGGTGCCTCCACAATAAAATGGCTGCCACTCCTGGCCTTGGGAGTGACTAGTCCTAAATAGGCAAGTACCCCTAATTTTTTTTTTTTTTTATTTAAGAAAAGTATTAAAAAAATTGTTATGATAAGAAAATTATAATCTAATTAGTGCTTTTTTGTCAAAGCCAAAGCACACATTTTTGGTAGCATGCTGGCACATTTTAGGGTTATTTCTTCCCCATACCTTTGGCTTAGATTTCTTACCTACCTTAGGTCCTAGATTTAAATGGAATTATTGTGAATTGCAAGTAACATTCTCTGATTCTGCAACAAAATCATCCAAAAACCCATTATGAGAGAAAAACGTGGCCTATGTTATTCTCCACCCCCTCCCCTCTTGTAAATAAGTTTTCATCTCCTGTCACAGTTTCATTGCCAACGTAACAAGGATTTGTCACATACCTCTCATGTAATTATTCTAGTACTGTTGTGTTGCTGTTCATTTGAAATGAGCTTTGTTTCATAAAAACTCAGTATTTTAATGCTCAACGTCATAACTAAATGAATCATCATATGGCAATAATGAAAGGAATGTGTGATCCAACTAACCACATAGAAGACAATAGTTCAGGCGCCAAGAAGTAACCATTTTGGCTTCAGGTTACATTTTAATTATATGAAGTTGTCAAATAACATAATCTTTTTTTATGAAAACTCTCTTTCCTGAAAAAAGACAACAGCCACTGCGTCTCTTGGCAAATCCATTATAGTTTGAGGGAATAGCAGTTATGTGAGAAAAGTTGTCCCTGAAGCAATGCATTCATACGATTATTCCAAAAAAGAAGCCAAACCAAATAAGCCACTGAAATATGCCCTATTACCTTAAAAAAGCACCAAGCAGTATGGCTTTAATATAAAAATGCCATATCATTGTGAAAACATAAAGTGTAATTAATTTTATTTTATATTTTCAGAAAATCCTACTCTTCTTAAATATATGTTATTTAATAAAACTTTTATAATTTAGAACTAGTTTAGAAGAAACTACTATTATCTTGGGAGGGAAGAACATTTAGCTTGAGAGTGCAAGATTTTACTGTGTTTTTAAAGGTTTATAAATTACCTTTGCTTATATTATCCTGCTCCTTCCTTATTCTTAGAGCAATTCAAGAGAGCCTTTCTGAAACTCCTGCATCTAAAATTGCTTCCCCAATGGATGATTTTAGGACAAGTGAAGAAACTCAGCTTGAATTAGCATTGAAACTTTCACAGCAGACTCGAGAGGATGAAGAAAAACAACTTCAAGAAGAACAAGAAGTGTTAGAGAGGGTACTCCAGCTTTCTTTAGCTGAACAATAATCTATATTGAAAAGACAGATTTGCAATTCATGCTTTAACTGTAGATGATTTGGTTTGTAGGCTATTTACTCCAGCTTTTCATACTACAAAAGAGCTTTTTCTGAGAAAAATAAAATGGAGAAAATCATCATAAACTATTTGCTGGAAGACTGATTTTGAATGTGAAAAGTATAATAATGCGTTTCAGATTTTATCGATGAAAATTTTGAAAAATAAGGGATGGTTAATCAGGAATAGTTACATATGATTTTACTGATCAAGTTTATATGTTTAAAGAAGCTGCATTTCTAACTTCAAACATAATTTACAGATTTTCTAAAAAATTTTATTATAAATGTGTTTATGAAAACTTGCTCTTTTCATATTGTAATAAATTTTATAAGTTTTTTCTAGGCATGACATTTATTGTACGTAACATTTATGATGTTAAAAAAATTTTTGTTTCTAAAAATATTGCATTTGTATGACAAAAACATGGTATAATTTTTATTTTTAATTATGTATTGTGATTTGTGTATTCTAAATTTAGAAAAATGAAAGATATAATGTCTGTTAAATAGTACCACCAATTAATAATAAATGTCACAAATATCTAATCTTCAGTTATGTTTGAAATGGAGTGTACAATTCATCAATCATTGTGAATATATCAGGTGTACATCTTAGTGTTTTATTTGTAATAAATTTTCTAATAATTCTGCGTATTTTTTGTAATAAATATGCTTCTTTGTTATATATTTAGATTTAAGTTTATTAAAGTTAAATTAGGTTTTTTTTTTTTAATATAAAGTAATTTTACTGGCATTTTGAAATAATATTTATGGTGTATATCAAAGGTACTTTTATAGACAATGAAGTTGTAAGTATATTTTTACTATCAATTATTGTGTACTGTGTTTGATCCTGTAAGACACATTTTACTTTTACACTTTTTACATATTTTGCTGATACATATAACATTTTATAATCAGATTAAATTTATAAATATTAATTATTTTATTCTGTTAGTGTTAAAAAGGAATTTTGAATGAAATGTAAAATAATATCAGGCATAACTTCATAAAAAATGGCATTAAAGTTATGTTTCTAATAGTATCTAAATGAATTATCCTATAGAACCAAAACTCGAAATAAAATTGTTATTAACGTATAGTATACTAACTTAATATTTCTTTTTCCCTTCATAACACTCAGCAATAAAATATATTACAGCTATCAATTATTGTTCATTTGTGTTTGGTAATCGAAAGGTTTTTACTGTTTTGAAAATGACACTAACATTTTGTAATTAAGTTAAAGTGTTTAATAAATATAGAAAATCATATATTAATGCCATTAATTATTTTATTCTGAAGTCTTTTAATGAAGTACAGGAAATTATATTAATGGCAACTTTGGACCGGTGATATTATAGTTATGTTTATAGGAATTATCTAACTGAAATTTATTTCAGTTGAAATTATCCTGTAAAAGCAGGATGATTCAAAATAAAATTTATGCTATGTACATAAGCAAGTTATTGTACATTTTATTAATTTTTATGGCTTATTAATGCTTTTTAATAGTTAGTATAAGAATGGACTAGAGAAATATTACGCTGATTAGTTTTATGATTCCAATGAGTATAAAAACAGTAATAATAATATAATATATATACTGTTGAGTACAATTCTAGATGCTTAAAAAAATATTGGTTTCCTTCCTCAGCAAGTTAGTTAATATATCAACATCATTATGTATGACATTTAACACATAAATGTTTCAAATAACATCCACACATACAAATTTGGATTAAAAAAACTTACATGTTTCAGATTTTCATAGTCTAACAGAAGCAATTGCCTTTTTTAAGAAGTGTTGTATAAATTGATGCAACACTTCTATACAAAAGCAAATTCTATACAAATGTCAAAATGCTGACGAAAACTAATTATTAGAAAAAAGTCTAAACATTGCCATCAATTTGTCATAAAATTTGCTTGAGTGTGATTGGTAGGCTATATGAATATCACATATGAGTTTGATAGCATTTTGAATGTTTTTAAAGATAAACTAAACTATAGGTAATTAATTTAGGTATCTTTTGTATCTTGTTTTATATAAAAGATAATGAATTTCCCTCAAATGCTGAATGATGTGCTTTTGTAATTTCAATAGAGGCTATGATTTTCTGTAAGAAAGCTGTGCAATTCTGATCCAGTAATAAAAGAATTGATGTGCATTACCAGCTGATGAAAAAATAGCATTATTTTTACCGCACCTTGCATTTTAAATGAAATTTCTAAATTATTTTGAGCTTTGCTTTTCTCTCAATTTTAATCTGATTTCTATGGATTCTTATTCAATAAATATTTTTATTCTTTCCAGTATAGTTATTTAATAAAATGGGAGAGAAATTAACATCTTAAAATAAATTTTGACTCCTTTATTATCTTTTAAGGAAGATTACCTGGTGTGCTTGCAATACCTTCAAACAAATAAAGTTACATTTAATTCTTTGTTAATCTTTCCTGTTTTATATATATATATATATATATAGATATATATATATATATATATATATTATATTATAGATTATAATATATACACTTCATTTACACTTGGCACATGTTTATGTACAAATTCAAGTATTTGAAATCCTAGGTAATTAGTCCAATACTTGAAACCTCATGAAAGAAAAGCTGCTCTAGGAAAAGGAGTGTCTTGATTTCAGATACATTAACTTTTTTTTTAGGAAAGTCAAAGCCACTTGTTATAATGAACTAAACTTCCAGTCCCTTGAAGTTCATTATAGTGGAATTCAACTGTATATGTTCAAATTTATGCTTTTTCTAACGGTGATATTTTAACACTATTAATTGATATTATTTAAAACCAAAACTATCAATAACAGGGTGTAGGTAATCTTTAGTTTCACTTTATAGTGGGGGAATGCATGTATTTGTACTTTTCCTACTCTTTTTATACTGTTTAGCAAGATTTTTTTTTTTTTTTTATTTAATTACTCCAGTACTTTTACCCATGACAAACAAGAGGTTAACTTCATATTCTTAAGTTCTTCAGACATATAACGTACCTTTTTAAATTCTTAATCATTTTTATGAAGATATCTTCTACATGGAATCAAAATTCAAAGATTAAACTAATAAAAATAATTTCAGCTGCTAAATTTTTGCAGTTTAATATGTTTGTCACAAAAAATATGCATTAAAATTTAACATTATTTGAAATGAAAAAATTTTTGTTGATAATTCATTGTACCATATTCAAATTCACTACTTCAGGTGTCTATAGCATGTGCTATTTAAAATAATTTTATCAACATTAATTTCATAAATGATTAAAAGAAATTTTTATGAAACTGAACTGCTTGAAAATGAAGAGCAGAAAGAAGTACAAGATGAAAATACTAAATTTTAACTAAAAAAAAAAATATTTATTTGCCTGTTAGAAAATATTTAGTCACTTAAACTAAAATATCCATAATAGTATTGTAAAGCTGAACCTTTCTAATCACAGTAGAGTATTATTGCTGTATCAGAAGCCCAAAATCAGAAGTACAATTCTTGCCTTTAATTAGTGTCTTTTTATCTATGCCTTAGCAAGACTTGCATGAAAGTATGACTTCAAAAATTTTGATAAAATAGTGCAAGTGATATGCTATTAAATAAGTAAAGTTTTTATTTTTCCCCCCACTATCAAATTAATGGGATAGCCTTTTTTCTTGGGGAGGGGGTAATTCTTCAGGTACCTCGCATCTTTAAAATGTGCCTGAACACACAAAAAGTTACTTTCTAAACCTTCTCTTAATGACATTTGTTTATATAAATCCCACGAATTCAATGTTAACAGATTAGTTTCATGTACAGTAAAGACTCAGCTTTTGTTTAGCAATAATAAATATGAATCTAAAAAATTTTCTTTTGAATCATTCTGTAATGTATTATAGTATGTGATGTATATTGGCTTACAAATTTTATGTGAAAATATTTATTTCTTCATATCAATTAAGAGATCTAAATAAAAAAAAATATTCTATTGTTAAAAGTGTACTTATTTTTTACATTTATATGAAAAAACACTGAATTTCAAATAAGTAAGGTGTTTATCACAATGCTGCCGTTGTTATTGTGGCTAATCTCACTTATCTTACTAATGAGAACAAAAGCCCACAAATTTTATAGTGGTAAGTAATGCAGAATTATGTCTGGCTTTCCCAAGAGCCATAAAGGTGACACTGTGACTTTGTTTATCACAGTACTTGTAGAACTTCGAGATACGAAGAAAGTCTGAGCAAAAAATTCGTCTCTAAATACGAACACTGACTCGAGTTACGAGCAAGGAGCCAGGCTGTGGGTATAAGTGTCGTGTTTCCCGATCTGACTCGACATGGGGTGTCTCCTTGTCAGATCAGTCAGTGTTCTTTGATCTACGTGTTTGTGCACTCGTGAGTTAATTGTTTTTTACATTTAACGTGAAAATAATTATTTTACGATGACTCTCAAGAAGATTGTTGCTTCAGATAGTGCTGCAAAGAAAAGGAAGGGTGCCATGGCCATTGAAATTAAGAAAGAAGTCATAGATACACATATGCTGCGTGGTGTAAAAGTGACGGAATTGGCAAAGACTTATGGTCGTTCGACAAAGATAATCTGCATTATTCTGAAGAAGAAGGAAGAAATTAAGAAACTTGATGTGGCCAAAGAGTTACCATTATTTCCAAGCACCGTTCCAAAACTCCTAGAAAATGTTGAGAAGCTGTTTGTGGATTAACGAGAAACAGTTAAAAGGCGATTTGGTGTTGGAAGCTATCATTTGCGATAAGGCTAAGCATCTATACTTGGACCTTCTTCGAAAAACACCAGGTACGTCGACTGAAGATGAGATAGCAATGAGATTTTTGGGGGTGCAGAACAGATTAACTGGATTTCCATTTACAACGGGGAAGTTTGTTTCTAGATACGAGAAATTCGCTATACGAGCTTAGTGCTGAAACCAATTAAACTCGTATCTTGAGGTTCCTCTGTATATGTATTATATGAATAAAAATGTCTGATTTGTACACCACATGACTTCCTTGTACGGAATATTAAATTATCCGCACTTTTCCTGCATTTCATTTAAACATTTTGAATTGAATCTACTTTGTCGGTAACGCATAAACCACGATAGAATAAATGCACTCGTTAAAGTTTACTATATTTACCATAGCAACACTTTGGCACTAGATTCACTTAACAGCATTACATCTCATTCATAACTTGGAGTGCAAAAAAAATTATATAATCTAAAGAATTACCACAAGTTCTATTCAAATACTATAATAAATCTAAAACGAGTTTTTTTTTTTTTTTTTTTTTTTTTTTTTTAAGACGATTCAGCGCCGCTTACCTAATGCGCATGCGCTACTAATTAATTCAGTTCTCACTCTGCGGAAAGGGAAAAATACATAAAAATTCAATATATTTTCATTAAAAATTGAGAGATATAGAAAAACGGAACATATCAAGTACAGTTAATATAATTTTTTTTAAAAATGCCTAAAGTTCCTATGCAAAAATTAGCTAATTACTTAAATGATAATTCCTGAATGTATTGAGCATAAATTAAATCCCAATAGTAAAAGAAGGCGTTACTTTTGCAAGCTAGTTTAGATGGAACAAACACTATTCGTAAGTTCAAATGTGACAAAATATGGCTGCCATGGTAATCAAAAATCAGGCTTATCCGCACTTAAAAAACTTTTAGGTTGTTGATAATGCCACAATTATTGCATGTAGGTTAACTAAAGGCATAAAAATCTTAACCAAAACAATATAATTCAATAATTTTTAAAGCAAAAAATGCACAACTTACAAACATATAAGAATAAAGAAACTGAGCTCACTGAGTCGAGTAACACAGTTAATATAGGATTTACAGTCAAAAGTCTTTAATCGGGACTTCGGCAATTCCGGATATAGATCATCAGTTAAATCTGGAAGATGCATGCAGAAATTATAAAATTAAAAAATATGGAACCGTTTTATGAAATAAAGGCAATTATGTTTAGGTTTCAAAATTACTAAAAAAGAACCTAAATATTTGTTACTTAAAAATTCTTTCAATTGCGCATGCGTAAAGCATACATTACGCATAGTCGAAATTAGAAAATTGCAGCCAGAAACTATTTGATGTGTATTCGTGATTTTATAATGAATTTGATTTAAATCATATAAAGGCAAGTACATTGAGATGAAAACTACCTTTAGTAAGGAATTAAGCGAATAAAATAAAAACATTCCGTGAAGATAAGGATAGTGCTGAATATCAACTTCCAGTCATTGCGCGCCGCGACGTCCCCCCCCCCGCGCAGAGAAGCGTAAAATGATAAAAAGATTTCGGAATGGTTAGAGAAACCAAAGGATATGCTTTATCCATTTTTTGCAGCAATTCCACTTTTGTTTAAGGACTTCCAAACTACTTCGCTTGTAAGTCTTTACATATTAAAAATATATTCGGAAATTTTATTTGACATAATTGAAGTTCAAGCTTACTTTATAAAATGCTAACATCTGCAAAATAATAACCGGATCCAATTGAAGAAAGAACAACGCAATCATTAACTGAATTAGATAATTTTAGCTTAGCTTTACCGTCCGTTATACATTAAACGCGCATTCCTAAACGTATTTTGCGCATGCGCTCACGCATATTCGAAGCCCTAAAGATCTTAAGCGCATGTGTCAACGTGACGCATGCGCTCTAAACCTTACAAGAAAGCCACAGTGCAACAAACCTATTTACGGTGATACAACAATTGCAACTACCAACAAGGACAAAGCCGCAATTATGGTGGAATATTTAGAGAAGCAGTTTATGCCTAATTTAGATTCCTATGATACAAAATATTTCATTCCATGGACCTTATAAGGTCCATGAAATCCTGAATCCAATCCTGAATGAAACATGGACCTTATAAGGTCCATGTTTCATTCAGGATTGGATCAGTAGCCCTGGCGCCAAAAACAAAACTGACTTTACTTCGCCGAAAGAGATCATTAAAAACATGAAAAATCGTAAAGCACCTGGGTATTATGATATCCTTAATGTTGCCATCAAAAATATGCCGATTAACGCTGATATCAAATTTACTAGCATCTTAAATGCTCTTCTTGTGAATAACTATTTTCCCAACAAATGGAAAAAAGCCAAAGTCATAACCGGGTAAAGATGTTACTAAGCCA